TCAAACCAGGTTGTTTTATTTTACAAAATGCCGTCCTTAAAGGTTTTAAATGCGGTTTGTTAAAAATTAATCCTGAATGTCATCATTCGAGTAAAACAATGCATAAAAATTCTTATTTGGTAAATACAAAAAACTAAACAATTACTGCTTTTTTTTTTAATTGGATAAATTTAAACCTAATAAATTTTTTTTTTTTTTCAATTTTAGGGTGGAGTTGTTATAAAAGGTTCCTTAAATTTAAAAATTGACCAAGTAAAATCGGAATTACAAAAAGGAAACATGATATTTGTACCTCCTTTAACATGTTGGACTGCAACAAATCGTCAAAATAACGAATCAGTTATGTATTACTGGTGTGGAAAATTTTAAATTTTTACCCTTTTTTCATCAATCAATCAATCTTTATTGATCAAATTATTGTTAAATTAAATTTTATTTTATTTTTATATATCATAACTTACTGTATGTAATAATATATATTTTTTTTCATATTTTATTTATTATTTATTTTCCTTTTCATTTACTCAAACTAATTGCGCCAACATGTTAAATTCTTTCTACATGACAGAAAATAATGTTTGCAAGAACTTAAAAATTCAATTTTTAAACAAATGTAGAATTTTGCTTGATAATTAAATTTCAAATAAGGCACAGAAATTGATGTAAAAATAATTTGCAGTCATTATTTTAAAATATTTCAATTGCTGCAGTAGAGAAAATGAGATTTTATTATTCGATATTTCCATCAAATTAACTAAATTTTAAATTATTAAATTTGAAAATTGAGAGAAATAAATAAAAAAGGAAATTTTTTTAAAAAAATGGAAATCAATTAAATTAAAAAAATAAAAATAATGTTATGAATTCACTTCATGTATTAATTAAAATTTTTTAAAACTTTTTTTGGATCCTTGACCCTTGGTCACTTTAAGAACGTTAAACCTCACAGTTTTACTAAGAGGCCTACACTCGCCAATAGTAACAACATCCCCGATTTCAACATCCCTAAAATTAAAGAGAAATTTTACTCATATATATTCTTTACATTTCTGTACCTTATAATTTAATTGAAAGCCTACTTTGTATTATTATAATAAGTTCACAACAAACTTTAGATAAAAAGTTATGAATTGTGCATTTTATGGGAAGTTTAAAACATAAAATGGCGTAAAAATAATAAAAATACTAACCTAAAACAGGGCGATAAATGTACTGACATATTTCTATGTCTTTTCTCAAATCGATTATACTTTCTAATGTAATGAAGATAATCACGTCTTATTACGATTGTTCTTTGCATTTTCATCTTTTGAACAACTCCAGTTAGTATACGACCTCTGATGGAAACATTTCCGGTGAATGGACATTTCTTATCAATATATGTTCCTTCAATGGCCTGAAAATTTCCAATTCAAAAAAAAATTAGTTAACTTTAATCCTTAATTAAGACCCAAATCCAAAGTTCCCAAAAGCATATTTTTCTCCAAAAAACCATTAGACTGAGGCATACCATTTTATTCAAATGGGAAAAAAAATAAAGATAAATAGATTAAACCCGATTTGACTATGAGCAATTTTTAAATAATACCTTAAAATTAAAAAAAAAAAAGCAATAAAAATACCCATGAAAGAATCATGTTTTTATTTTGTTTATGTAAGTGTACTTATAAAAGCGATTTAAAGTGAAAACGATAATGTCAAGTAAAAAAAAAAAAACCTAATATTTGATACCCAGTATCAAATCGAAAATTAAAGTTTCAGCGTTACAAAAGAAAAGAATTTTTCTATTGAAATTTCCAGAAATACCTCATTTTCAAATCAAGTGTGATAATAAATAAAGTATCATGCATCTACTAATGTTATTGAATAAGTTATTTTTGATATCTTTATGTTGTTATGTTATTTGTGATGTTTTTTTTTTTTTTATTTCGTACAATTTCACCCAATATTAAAAAAAATTAATTTTAAAAGTTAGAAATTTTATAATAAAAAAGATGATTTTAAATGATAAATGATTTTGTGTGTTTTTATGTGTAACTGAAATTATTATTCCCTTAACCAAATTTACCCAATTGCAGGCCAATTAAATGATCTGCACAAACCTCTCTTGGCGTTTTAAAGCCTAAACCAACATTACGATGACGTCTCAATGGTTTCTTGCCAGCTTTGACTTTACTGTTTAAAAATAAATAAGCTTGCTTTTGGAAAGCTTTTTCGTTCTAAGTAAAACAAACAAAAAAAAAAGAAAAACAGATTAATAAAAACAGTAAAATATTACCCACCTCCCGAGGGGTTTTAAATCCTAACCCAACATTTCGAATGTACCTCAATCCAGTTTTATTTTTCTTAATTCCTAAAGATTTTTTTCGGTTTAAAAAAACCGTAGGTTGCTTTTGAAAAGATTTTTCATTCTGAAAAATAATTTCGCAATAACATTGTGATTATTTAAGAAACTACATGTAACAATATCACTAATAATCACTCTGAAAAAAAGTATTTATATTTGTCTACTATTATTGTGACAAAATTATATAAAGAAACATTAAATAACATTAAATTTAGCAACAACAGTATCAAATAGCGTTTAATTAAAACCCTGTAGTTTAAAATTAATCTTGTTTTGAGAAAAGAGATCAAAAGCACGTGCGAGATGCTCACACGCCAGGGAAACGTATCAACTAAATTTATCCTATAAATAATTGTAAAAATAAATTTCCGATTACGATTGTATTCCCTTTAAACAATAATTATAATTGTTTTCTACACTAAAATTTAATAATTGGAAAAACAATTTACCTGATCAGCCATTTTAAAGAATAGAGAACCGCTTTCAATATGGAGTAAATTTAACGTCACGAAAAAGGAACAGTTTTAGTCGAGAAACAAAATGGCGACTGAATTTGCTACGGTTAAATGAATTAATTCGTTTTCATTTATATTTTTGGCGTAAAAAGGAAAAAGCGGTAAAAAAAAAAAAACGAAAGCAAAATAATTTTTAAAGAAAAGTGTATTATTTTAAATTGTTCATTTTACAGTAATTAAAAAGTATCTTCACTGGCTAAAATTCTTTTTTCTTTTAATTCTTGAAATTTTTTAATGACGTCACCGACTGAAAACTCTCCGTGAACAATATTATCTCGAGTTCTTACGTTAACCGTTCCGGCATTTTTTTCTTTTTCACCGACGACTAAAAAAAAAATAAAACGTCAAATATTAGATTAAATACAGTTAAATTAAACAATCGTATTCTCCATATTTCTTTTTACCGAATATGAAATTATACTGTGCGAGTTGAGCATTTCTAATTTTTTTGTTCATAGTATCACCCTCGTCATCGTCGAAATCGCAACTGAATCCAGCATTAAAAATATCATCTTTGACCTGCATAAAAAAAAAAAAACAAATTAGTAATGTTTAATTTAGCAGATTTAGTAATTAATTAAGCAAAGCAATCAAGTATTTACTTTTTTAGCATATTCATAAAAGGGTAGCCCAACAGGAATAACAATAGATTGTCGAGGAGAAAGCCAAAATGGCCATTTTCCACCGTAAGATTCCGTCAAAATGGCTATCATTCTTTCTACGGAACCCAAAATAGCACGATGAATAATAACTGGTCTAATTTTGTCTCCACTTTCACTAAAATAAAAAAAACAAAAGTTTTATTTAAAAAAAAAAAAAATTTTGTGATGTAAATAAATAATAATAATAATTAAATATATAAATTACCCAATATAATTTAAATTAAATCTTATCGGTAATTGAAAATCTAATTGTATTGTTGCACATTGATGAGCTCTTTTTAAAGCATCCAAAATAGTTATATCAATTTTAGGACCGTAAAAAGCTCCGTCTCCGGGATTTAATTTCCATGGGAAACCAAATTCATCTAAACTTTCAGTAAGTTGCTAAAAAAAAAAAAATTATTCATAAGTAGTGGTAACACGTAAAATTTATTTATTTATTCATTTTTTTTTTATTAAATTTACCTTTTCAGCTTGATCCCAAACGTTAATTTCTCCTAAATATTTTTCCGGTCTTGTAGATAAACGAAGTTGAAATGTAAATCCGAAAACACCGTAGACATTTTTTAAAAATTCAAGAGCACCGGATATTTCGCTTTTGATTTGATTTACCGTGCAAAATATGTGAGCATCATCTTGTTGAAAACGGCGAACACGAGTCAAACCGCTTAAAGCACCTGAAAATTCATTTCTGTGAAGAACTCCAAAATCAGCCATTCGCAATGGTAACTCTCTCCAAGATCGATTTCGGTTATCGAAAATTAAGCTAAAAAAAAAAAAAAAAAAAACAAAAAAAATCGCATCCAAAAGAATAAAAAAACATTTTTAATTATGATAATTTACAATGCACAAATATATATATATTTACCAATGTCCAGGACAGTTCATTGGTTTGAGAGCGTAAGTTTCTTTTTCAAGTTCAAATGAAAACATGTTTTCCTAATAAAAAACAAAAATAAATTTTTTTATATTTTAAATCTAACTCGACTTCATTTAAAATAAAATTTAAATAATTTTTCTTCTTACGGCATAATGTTGCCAGTGACCGGAAGTTTCCCAAAGTTTAACGTTGTATATATTCGGAGTTATAACTTCTTGAAATCCTCTTTTCCTATATTCTGACCTGATAAATTCAACTAATGTATTGTAAATGAATGCTCCTTTCGGATAGAAAAAACATGAACCAGGACTAAGTTCGTGAAAGAAATATAATTCTTGTTCCTGAGAAAAAAATTAATAAATATTTAAGTGAATTTACAAAATAGCAAAAAATAATTTTAAAAAAAAAATACAGTTTTCTTACTCGTCCTAATTTTCTATGATCTCTTTTAGCTGCTTCTTCTTGAATTCTTTCCCACTCTTTAAGCTGTTTTGGATCAGGAAATGAAATTCCATAAACTCTTTGTAAGGATTCGGCTTCTGAATTTCCCTCCCAGTAAGCAGACGAGTTTTTGGTAATTTTAAATGCTTTTATTTTTCCCGTGTTTCGCACGTGGGGTCCACGGCAAAGATCAATTAAAGAGCCACATTTATATACAGTAGTCGTGGGTGTATTAATTTTTTCATTTAATATTCTAACTTTAAAATGATTGTACTGAAATAAAAACATTGAGAATTTTATCAACTGATAAAGGCTAACAAAATAATAAATTTTTTTAAAAATGAATATTACTTTAAACATTTCTAACAAATCTTCTTTTTTCATTTCTAATCTTTCAAATGGTTGTTTTTCCTTAACAATTTTCTTCATTAAACTTTCTATACTAGGAAAATCTGTGTTTGATACTTGTGAATCAGGAGTGAACATATCATAATAAAATCCATTTTCGATTGGTGGTCCATAACACAAATGTCCACCATACAACCTTTCTAAAGCTTCACCCAAGATATGAGCAGTTGAATGCCAAAATACTTGTTGAGCTTCTTCATCATCAAATTTAAGAAGTTGTAATTTACAATCTGATTCTAATGGTCTTTCCAAATCCCACAGGACACCATTCACTTTAGCAATCACTGTATTATCAGCAAGGCCTTGACTGAAAAAATACGATATAAAAATGTAAGATCAGCATTAATCCCTTTTAAATTATTTATTAAAAAGAAAAAAAATAATTTTAAAAATGATTTTGTCTTAATGTGTTATCAGAGAAGCAATAAATATATAATTTGTGTCATCAAAAAATTTAAAAAAATTTATTTATTTTTTGATGACAAAAAAAATTCATTATGAAAAAATCACCTGATGCCTTTAGCAATGTCGTAAGGACTTGTTTTCCAGCTTTCTCCTTCCACAATTTTCCCATCGGGAAGAGTAATTTTAATGGGATTTGATGTTTTGGATGCAATTTCAGCTTCATATGCTGTCTTTAATTTATTCCACAAAACATTTCTTTCTTCAATGTAATTAGGCCATGGATTAAGTTCACTTAAAGCTTGTTTTTCTCCCGCAGACTTTTCTTTTTTTTTCGCCTTCGAACTTTTCTCTGCTATGGATAGCTATAAAAAAAAATTGTTTTTATTGTTTTCAAAAAAAAAAATTAAACTATTTTAAATTAAAAGAAATCTTCAACTAAAAAATAGAAAAAGATAACAAAAGTAAATATATTTAATAAAAATATAAATGGTTTTAAATAAATAAATTTTTTGTTTTACTCGGTAATCGATTTTAAATTAAAGATTTTAATTATTTTAAAAATCTTTCTGAATGAATTCAATAATTTTAAACATTTATTTAACTATTCATAAGCCAAATTTAATTAATTCCATATGAAAATTTAAAACAAGAACTAAAATTTTTATTTTAAAAAATACATTTTTTAAGTAATATTAAAAATTTTATAACCAATCCTTTCAATAATTTATAAATTACATGCCTAAATTTTAAATTCAAGTATAAAGGTAAAAAGAAGGTTGTGAATATCATAATACATAATGTAATATACTTTAATTTTATTAAAGTGATTAATATATGTCATAAAAATCCTGCTCAAAAATTATGAAATTTATTTAAAACATTTTTCAAATTTTTTTCCATAAAGTAAATTCAACATCTGTTGCAATATGGTTATATTCGTTGCAACATTCGTTGACATTTAACTTTTTCAATTAAACTAAATAAAATTTCAATTCAAAAATTTTTTTAAATTATTATTTAAGAAAATTTTAAATGAAATAAAAGTTATTGAATTTAATAAGAATTAATATTAGAAAATATTTAATGAGTAAATGCCTGTCATAGACGAACCAACAATTTATTTCTTTTAAAGTTAACAGAAAACAATCCAGTTCCCCTTATTAAATGTCGTATCATTTTATATAAATTTAACTTTTAACAAATCGTAGAATTTAAAAGTCATGCCTTATTAACATCCAGCTCCGTATTTCCAGGTTCACCTTCCATTTTTTTTTTTTAATATTTAAATCTAACCACACAATACACAAAAGCACAAAGTAAAAATTTGAATTTCACACACTTTGCTACATGAAGCCAAAGGAAACTTTTGATGATGGAGTAACTACTTTAAGTTGGTATTCGTGGTATTTGACAAAAAGGGGAAAGGACTAGTAAAATTTTTTTATAATTTTTTTTTGATTGTTCGCAAAATATTCCAGTTAATAAGTTAGTCATAATTATTTCATGTAAATCTAGTGTTAAAATTTGATTTCGGAATGGCAGCTTTGCCGCGTAGGATTATAAAGGAAACGCAGAGATTGATGCAAGAGCCAGTGCCCGGTATCAGTGCGGTACCGGATGATAGCAATGCAAGATATTTTCATGTCATTGTTACGGGACCTAGAGATTCACCGTTCGAAGGGGGTCTTTTTAAATTAGAGCTTTTTCTACCGGAAGACTACCCAATGTCTGCACCGAAAGTACGTTTTATCACTAAAATATATCATCCGAATATTGATAGACTGGGAAGAATATGCTTAGATATATTGAAAGATAAATGGAGCCCAGCACTTCAAATCCGTACAGTACTTCTTTCAATTCAAGCATTGTTGAGTGCTCCAAATCCCGACGATCCTCTTGCAAACGATGTAGCTGAATTATGGAAGGTCAACGAAAGTGAAGCAATACGTAACGCGAAAGAATGGACTCGAAGATACGCAATGGATAATTGACTTTCATGATTACTTTCATTATTAGAACTAGGCTGCAGCAGAGATGAACCTAAAAAGATTTAATGAGGCTGCGGTTGTCCAAACAAACAAACAAACAAAAAAAAAAAAAAAAGAAAAAAAAAAGAAAAAAAAAAAAAGTTGGATTGTTGTGAGAAAAAAAAAAAAAATAAAAAAATAAAAAATAAAATAAATTTTTATGAATAGAGTACTGAAATACAAGAAGGGTTTTTATATATTGTGCAAGCATGATACTGCAGGAAAGAAAAATTTCAAAGACTATATAGTAAAAGTGTTCATAAAATAATATTTTAAAGAAAGTGTGATGATTTTCTTTAGTTTTTTAAATAATAATAATAATAATTATAATAAATAATAATAATATGTTAAACTTGTATTTTAATATTTATACCATAATTAGTAAGAGTATTTTACTCTTTAACAATTAAGTCGCTGCAGTATCTGTAAGGACAGTAATTGAATTGATCTTTAAAGAAAAAAAAAAACAAATAATAATAATAATAATAATAAAAAATAAAAAAAAAGAAAAACAATAAAAGAAATATACATAAATTCTATTAATATTGTTTTCGTTATTTAAATTTACCTTTGATTTTATTTAATATCACCTATTTTAATAATCCCTCTGTAAAAAAAAAAAAAAAAATAAGATTTAATTCGAAATTATTAGTATAATTATTATTATTATTACACAAAATTTAAAAAAAAAAAAAAAAAATGCAATTTTTTCACAACATTAGGCAACTAACTAACTTGATCAATTTTTTTCGGTAAACAAATTTATTATTATTATTATCATTATTCAAAGTTAATATATATATTTACATTTTATTCTTTTTGACTTTTTCTCTCTTTCGTATGAAATTTAAACATCTCGTAATAATAAATTTCTGTTGGAAGGCATGATATTCAAATTTACCTTGTAATTTTAAAACGAGGATTTGTGAATCATTTAATAATAATATACAATTAATTGATGACACATGGGTAAAACCATCTTTGTAAATAATCATTAAAATAATTTAAAATAAATAATAAAAAAAGGAATTTTTAATTTAAATTTAAATTTTTTTAATTTTTATTCGAATAAATTTTAAAAATTGTTATTCGCAGGTTTTATTTATATTATATCAGTCTATATATATATATATTGATATATATATATAATTATTATGACTAGAAAATCTAAATAATTAGCTCTTATGACAATTAAAAACCTAAAATTAATAATATATATATATATATAGAATGAAAAATGACTGAAAAGTATTAAAAAACATTTATCATGATATTTTTAACTACAATATTGTCAAGCATTGAATGATTTTTTTTCCTCTTTCAATTATATATATATATATATATTAAATTAACTAATTTTAATTTTTTCTCTTACATATATATATATATATATATATATTTATAAATTATTTCTTTAGTAAAAATGCTGCTTTTTTCCTTTAAAATTATTATTATTATTATTATCAGGCATGAGCTTAAAAATTAAATTAAAAATAAATTAAATTAATTATTTACAATAATTTAAATAATAATAATCACATTAAGCGTATTAATAATAAACAGAAAAAAATTACGATTACAATAATAATAATAATAAATAAATAAATAAATAAATAAATGTAATGATTTATAATAATTTTTTTTTAAATTAATGATAAGAATTTTTAATTGTCAACCATTTTATACTTTTTTTTTCTTCTGCTTCTATTGAGCCACATTAAGCACCTTTTTAATTATTTTAATAATGATAATAATATTTATATATATTTACCGATATAGCGACGACTTTAAAAGCGCTTTTAATAAAAAATAATAATAATAATAATAATAATAATAATATGATAGGGTATCATTAGTAAATATGGCGGCAGCGATTGTTGTTCAGTAAACGTTCGTTGACTTTTACATTAAGTACAAATTATTATTATCATCATTATTATTATTATTATTATTATTATTATTATTATTAATTGTTTTACGTTACTTTATTTTCTTGCGTGAATTTCACACCGGGGAGAATGAGGGGGAGGGGGAGGGGGCTCATGCCTGACTTGATATGATTTTTGACAATTTTTTATTATTATTATTATTATTATTATTATTTTTTTTTTTTTGTAATGTTGGCGTTATTTTACAATCGCGTATATTCTCCAGAATAAAAACTGGAAAAAAAAAAAAAAAAAAAAAACTGAAGGGGAAAGAATAAATATGAATAGACCCCCCCCCCCCCCCATATATGAAAAAAAACTAATTAGTTGCAATTCCTTTGGTATAAAGCCTATGAAGGGCTATTTTTTTTTTTTTTTTTTTTTTTTTTTTTTTTTTAGTTACAAACCCTACAGAAAATCCCCAAAATGTTGAGGCCCTTGCTTCATCTTCATCTTCATCTCAATCTTCTTCTTCATCTTTTTCTTCTTCTTTTTCTTTTTTAATTCCCCTTTACCCCCCCCCCCCTTTTTTTTTTAAATCCCCGTTCTCGTGCTATCTTCCTACGTAAACTAAATAAATAATTTTTTTTTTTTTTTTTTTTTGTTGCCCCGTAAAAAATAAATTTTGGTCCTTACAATTTATATATGAATAAACATATTTTGCAATTTAAGCTTTTTTTCTACGCTACAACGCTATTATTATTATTATTATTATTCCTGTAGAATTCGACTAAATTTGTGGGAAAGAAAGAGAAATTATTGGGGAAAAGGGAAACAAAAGACAACAACAAAAAAAACCTAAATTTGCACTTCACCGAGGGCACATTATTACTTATCAGCAAAACAACTCGTTAAAAAGCTGATGATGATGATGATGATGATAATAATAATAATAATAATAATAATTGTTTTTTTTGTTTTAAATGTATAACGGCGTTTCTTGTCCCGTCAACAGTCTGAACATCGACGTGGGCATAGTTTTCATTAAAATCTGGAAAAAATTTTTTTTTTTTTTTTTTTTTTTTTTTGCAATCCTAGGTTAGTAGATTTATTATTATTATTATTATAATTCTTACCTCGCCCACCGAAGTCGCCAAAAGGTTCACAATTTTTTCATGTGGCACTGCAACGACGCTTTGATTATTTATTTCTATAATCCTGTGTCCGACCCTGACTCCTCCCCTTTCTGCGATTCCTCCCCGCAATAAACTGCAAATCTGAAAGAAAAAAATTTTTTTTTGCAACGACATGAATCACGATAACATCATCATCATCATCGTCAACATGGTCGTCACTTACAACTCCATTTTGTACGCTGAAACCCAATTGATATTTCGTATCCGGCCTTTTGATTTTAACTTCCACGACGGGAGCACAGGGAACGACGGTTAATTTAACTACCGTTTGATTTTTAGTATTCTGTTCGAAAATTTAAATTTTAAATTTTAAATTTTAAATTTTAAAAAGGGGGATGAAAATCTGAAACGGAGCAAAATGGATTCCACAAACCTTAATGTACGTCTGACACGTGGATAATGGAAGCCCGACTAAACTTATACCGTTGATTGCTATTATTTGATCGCCGATGTTTAACTGACCGCATCTGGCAGCTGCACCAGAAGGAGCTAAATTGGCAATGACGACAGTCGGAAGCATAGACCCCCAACCGGATTCAACGATCACGACGCCTAATATTTCGCCTTTGGCTTTAGGAACTACCACCTTGATAAAAATTAAAACAAACCCGTTAGTTACTTCTTACATACAATTACCATCACGATAAAAGGTAGTAGTAGTAGTAGTAGTAATGATAGAAAACCTCTTTTTGCATTTCTTTTTTAGCAAACATTTGCAATTCGTCGCCGAATATTTCTTGCGAATTCAAAACTTCTTGATAATCCATTTCTTTGACGAAACTGTGATCTTCGATTCCGTTTGCTTTTAAAAATTCCATGTAAGCAACTTGAAAAGCTTGACCGATTGACTGAGCAATAAATTGGGCTTCTTCGCTCTCAAAAACGTGACAAATCATTTTCGGAGTCCTCGTCATTTTCGACGATTCCTCAACGTCGTGGGGTACGTATCGTCTCCTCGCCATTAAAACTACGAGATCACCAATGTCGGCAATGTACGAAATCGTTCTCAATGCGTGGTCCATCATTATTTCCTTTTAGAGTAAAACAAAAAAAAAAAATTTATTCCACGTCATCATCATCATCATCATCATTATTTATTTATTTATTATCCACATCGCAAAAAAATAAATAAATAAATAAATTATTAACCTTTAAATCCGTATTCAAAACCATTATTTTTTCCGTCGAAATAAATAAATCGACTTCCGTACTAGGTTGAGATTCTCCTTCGGGTGCCTGAACATCAAAAAAAAGGATTTTTGTAACATTTTCATTTGAAAAACATATTATTAATAAGGTACGCGGAAGAATTTCTTTCTTTTCTTTCTATTTACTCACCAGAGCCTGAAAATCATTTGCAGCGTACAAAAAAAAAAAAAAATAAAAAAATAAGTAAACGATTAAATATATTTAAATTATATAAAAATTATTTAATGTAGCAATTTACAGAGAGAGAAAGAGAGAGAGAGAGAGAGAGAAAAAAAAAAATTTTGCCTAAAATGTCAAAATTTATTTTTGTTCGGTTTAAAGTAAATAAATTTTAAATTGAAATTGAATTTTTCGTTTTCAACACACGTGTCAAATTTACGTGGACATTTTTTTGATTGGATGAAAGAGAGAGAGAGAGAGAGAGAAAAAACCCGCAAAAGACTCAATTTACAGAAAAACACACCTTTATTTTATTCACGGCCTCTTCGACCATACTTTTCTTGAGTCTTTTACGACGCTTACGTCCACCTTCTTCGTCAACTTCAACCGAACCGAGGAAAAGGAGCCTAAATATCGTACCCACAGGTCCGATATCGAAAGGCATTTCAATTTTCGGATTAATTATCTTCGACAGTGGCGTCACGATTGTGTCTGTTTCGCTGACATCGTTTTCGTCGCTGTCGAAACTCCCCCGTGAATTTGTCCTGCTGCATAAACTTTTGCTCGTGACGGATCCTTTCGGACCCAAATTCGTCATCATCGTCATCATCATTGTTTCTTCACGTTTTGAAACGGGTATGGTATGCCCACAATTTGACAAATCTACCATATTGGAACAAGATTCTAATGGTACTATTTTATGGTCGCTTTCATCGGCGATTTGAGCCTCGGCCTGTAATGCCATTTTTACACAATGATAATCGAACTATACGTGTACGTCTATTTCAAATAATGATAGGTATTTTATATATATAAAAAAAAAATTATTTTTTGGAATTATTACGGTTAACAAAGTGTAAATTTTGGGTATAAAATTTTAGTTACTTATTTTTCACGAGGGGGGGCAACACAATCGATTATTTTACTTCACTTCTTCAAATGAGTTTTTTTTTTTAAAGGCAGATACGTTGCCGTTATTTCTAAGTCTGCGAACCAAAAACGAAACATAATAATTAACAGTTCAATAAATCAATCAATAAATTAATCAATAAAGATATTTATTAGAAAAAAAAAAAAAAAAAAAACAGCTAAATGCTATGAAAATCATTCTTTTTTTTTTTTTTACATATATATAAATAAATAATTTTTATATGGATGAAAAAAAAAAAGAAACATCGAAATATATATATATATTAAAAAAATTTGTGCTAAATATACACGTAGTAGATTAATGATAGAAAAAAGTGAGATTGAAAATTTACAAATGAAATTTATATATAATTACAATATATAAATATATATATAAAAAATGAAGCATAGTAGGACGAAAAAAAAAAGGGAAAAGAAGAGAGAAATTATACACATATAGAACGATTTTTTAAAAAACATTCAATTTAAAAAAAAAAAAAAAAAAAGCGATTTAAATATATGCCAACATGATAAAAAAAAAAAAAAAAAAAAAAAATTTAAGGTTTTTTTTGAAGATGATGACAAGAATTTAAGCAAAAGTTTATGACTGACTACCTACCTACATACCCACAGAATAATAATTTATAACAGCCATATACACTTATTCAATATTTTTATATACATATATATTTTTTTATATGAAAAAGGGGGTACAGGCATACAGGCTCAGGCATAGTATTTCAGGCCCACCGATATTTTTGACATTCAATGCGCTAATCATCGTATCACATAATAAATTCGTTCGTATTTAGCCACGAGAGAGTGGCCAAGTCTAGTAATATTATTATTATTATTATTATTATTATTATTATTATTAGCAAGCAATAATAATAATGATTAATTTCAACATCATTCGGCAAAATTTTTTTTTTTTTTTTTTTTTTTTTTAGAAATTAAAAATTTAAAAACCCTCAAGTTTAAATTAACGTAAAACAAACACTGCGGGGGTGGTTTATATTAAATAACAAAAATAAATAAATCGCGAGGTCACGAGGTCACAAAATAACTCGTCCGCGTAATCCCCAAAGCGATGGTAAAAAAATGTCAATAGTGTATAGACACTACCTACTTTTTCGAACCTGTGTAAGGCACACTTTTAAGTGTAATATTTTTAATAACCCAAAGAGAGGTGAGAAAGCGCGACAAAGAAATCTATAGAAAAAAAATTTTCTTTTTACCGACATTGATTTCCCAGGCCGTGAAAAAAAAAAAAAAAAAAAAAAAAAAAAACTTTTCTATTTAAATCTTACCTTGATTCTGGACACAGCTTCTTCTGCTTGCATCATTCTGGTAGATTTTGTTGGTTGTCCTTCGCAAACCAATTGCGTCGAACCCAAATACCGAGCTCGAAATAAAACTCCTTCGATGAGAACTGACGGTTCGTGTATAAGAACTGAAAATAAAAATTAAATTTTTTTTTGTTTTTTTTTTTAACAGCAATCACCTTAACGAGAACAAAAAAAAAAAAAAACTCCATTTTATAATTTACATTCGAATCAAAGTAAAATTATTATTATTATTATTATTATTTTATTTTTTTTTTTTTGGTTTGCTTTTTTTTGTGTGTGCAAAATGACAACTTACCCAAAAACGAATATTTTTTAGGTGACATGAAGGCATCAGAGAGTGAAATTTGTGCGAGCATCAAGTGAAACAAATATTTTGCATTAGAATTACAATTATGTTAAATTTTAATTTAAATACTTTTTCAAAAAAAAAAAAAAAAAAAAAATGTGCTTGACTTGATTTTAATTTTTTTTTTTTTTAAATTAAATTAATTAATGTATAATTGGATTATTATTATTATTATTATTATTAAAAAATTTCTAATTAAATTTTGTTGTATAAATTTTTCATTATGTAAGACAAGAATTTTTAAAATTTTTATTTGTGGCTAACAAGTGTATTATTTTATAAATTTTTTTTTTTTTTTTTATTAAAAAAATATAATAAAATATAAAATTCACTCACCTTCTTTATTTCTTCCTCTTTTTTTGCTTCCATCTTTATCCTGAAAAAAAAAAAAAGCAGAAGAAAACAAAATAAAATGAGACGTGTATCCATCCCCCCCCCCCAAAAAAAAAAAAAAAATTTATTTAATTTCGTTAGAAAAAAAAAAAGAAGAAGCAATTTTGTATACCTTTAATACCTGAATTAGAGTTTTTGCAAGCATAAGAAATATTTTACCCTTACCCCCCCCCTTCCACCACCACTTTTAAAAAAGTCCGACCAACCTTTTTCGTTTTCGTTGGTAATGAAGTTGTAACTCCATTGTCTTTAACGGGTGAAGATGATATATCCAATGGTGATTCTACTAACCCACCATTAGATGGAGGTATCGTTGAAACCTCAGGTGGTATTGATATTTTAGGTAAAGAATCAAGAGAAGTTGCCGCCGCCGACGCCGACGCCGCCGCCACCACCGGTACGACCACGTTTGATGCGGTCGATTTTAAAGGAGTAGAAGAAGACATTTTATTTGAATTTATTAGTGAAGAAGGCATGACAGTTCTGGATTTAGGTTTTTTCCATCCCTGTTATTATAAACCAAATAACCCGAAAATGTTAGTGATGATGCATTTTCTCTTATATATATATATACCGCGAAAAGCAATGTTTAAAATACCAAAAAACCATTAAAAATAAATTTCCTCCACCAACATCATGCATTTTTAATTTTATTGAATCAATATTTACCCCCCAAAAAAATATTGACTTACCAATTTATCATCGTAAAAACCATGATCATCAGTTCTTTGTTGACCTAATAGCCTATCAGTTTCCAAATCTGTATCAGCTTCCTCATCTTCTATTCCTTCTTCGCTTCCATTTCTAGATTTTCTAATACAAAACGACAAAATTTGTCGCCATTTAAAAACATTATACGTAAACCAATAGTTTAAAAAAAAAAAAAAAAAAAAATCTAATCACAATCACCTTGACTCGTATGTGCCTGAATCTCTCACTTTACAACGGGGAACCCAAATCGGACTATTAGACGATTCGTTTGGCTCGTCCGAATTGGGCGACTTTAAGGGAAGCGTTTTCGTTCTCTGTAAAGTAAGCCGAATGTCTTTAATGGCAGCTTCAACGGATTCCTGTGAATGAGTATCTATGCATAAACTTCTGTGTGGAGCCGGTGCCGGAGGTGGCGGAGTAACTTGTGACGCATCTACCAAAAAAAAACATTTTTACTTAATAATACGGGGAGCGAAAAAAAAAAAAAAAAGAAAGAAAAAAAAAAATTTTTTTTAAAAACTAACTGAGAGGATCCAATGCTTCGATTTCGGGATCGTTTTCATAAACATCTCTACTCGTCGTATTCTGCTTGTTATTGTTTTTGTAATTTAAAATGAGCTTATCTTCACTTATTGAATTTTTATCCATTTGTTGTTTATGAACCGGCGAAACTGAATCGGAAGTTTTGGAAGAACCGTTCACGACGTGAACCGTTTGATTCGATTTTTTATTTTGTTTTTGTATTATTTCCTTTTCGATTTCCGTTATTTGTCTTTTCATAAGGACCACCGTCGGATTGTTGTTATCGGTGTCGCTCGCGTGACCCGATGATAATCCATCTTCCAAAATGGGCATAGATGAATAAACTCGAAGTGAATCAGTTATTTGCATATTACCTCCTTCGTCGTTTTGGTCTGCGTGACCTTTTTCAAAAGAATCGGTTAAAAAAAAAAAAATTACTATTTTCAACTGACTTAAAATTTTAATTTAAAAAAAAAAAAAAAAAAATTTACCCGGCACAACTGGTTGTTCCGCCATATTATTATCTACCAATAAAAGTGACACTTCGCTGTCCAAATCTCCGCAGTTAGAATCGCAATCCGTCGTTTCAGGTGATAAAGTAAAATTCCTACTGTGTCCAACTTGAAGACCTACTTCGGTGTCGCCCAAATCTTCGGTAGATGCAGAGTCAGCGGACAAATCAAGGAAATTACAATCATGTTCAGTGATGTCTTGTTCCTGAAAAAAAAAATGGAAATCGTCCATCAGGAAAAATTTTCACTCATACGAAGCAAGAGAATGCAGAGTTATAAATGCATTAAGTTATAAAATTTTACCCTTGAATTTTCCGTTTGGTGCTGCTGCTCTGTCAATCCAGAATTACAAGTTTTTTGAGGTTTTTGTGAAGTTTCTTGTACTAAATTTTTGGCAAGTCTCAAGCCAACATAAGCGCTACCTCGACCAGCCTGACGTCGAAGTTCATACCCCAACTCGTCGAAATCCTAAATAAAATAATTAATATGTATATTGTGGTGGTGTATGTGCGTGTGTGTCCAATGTCTAAATTTTTATAAACATTTTTAAAAATTCCTTCATGTGTAAAACTAGTTAGTAACTCTGACGTACTTGAATATTGTGCGATCCAGAATTGTCCGTTTGTTTAAAAAATTCTTCTAAAACTTTTCTCGTTTCTGAGAATTCATACAGGTAATCAAAATTAGGATTACCAGTTGTAGATTGGTTGGGACTAGCTGAGGTGCTTCCTTGTTTATTACCTGATGTTTGCTCAGGTGTATTATTGGTTATGGTAACGATTCTCTACAACAAATAATAATTTATTATTATTATTATTATCTTCTCCTTGTATCGATTAAAAAAATCGATATTATACGCACTTGTGGGAAACCTGGCCTTGGTGGGCAAACACTAGGTGAAGCCAAAAGACTATGGGCACTGGGCAAGGGAGGATGAATGGCATTTTGTGATGCATCCGAATGTCTCGGCCAATACCGCCTGGGTGATCCATCGTATTCAGCTATGGGAAGCCCCCCAATTACTTTTGGGCTTTTATTATGTTCCAAATCCAACGAAGATTTATTTCTCATATCATTTGTTGACGTGTTTGCAACCTAATGGTTAAAACAATAATTTAAAAAAAAAAAAAAAGGGGGGGGACCATTTTTTATATTTCAGATAAATTTAACCGTAAGAAATTAAAAAAAAAAAAAAAAAAAATAATACTTTGAAAAAATCCGAAGGAGTCCTGTGATAACTCGGAGGGCTTGGACTTGAGCTCACGCTTTCCTTTCCTTTATTCAATCCTTTCCTTTCTTCTTCTCCCTTTTTACGCCACGAATTATCGTCTCCGATATCATCGAAAACAACAACTTCACTCCCTCCGGCTCCTCCTATACTATTTAAACTATTTGCCCCTAGTTCATTATAGGATAACGTTACAGGAAGATTGGAAGACCGCTGATGTTTAACTGAATGGATTTCCGTTGAGAAAACAGTTTCCGTGATTTCACGATTGTTTCCTTTCAAACTATCCGAATCCCAAATGTTTTTATTTACTATTCCCTTGTTTTTATACGATCCCTTTTCTAAAATCCCCGACACGGGTTCATTTCTTAGTTTACTTCTAAGAGCTTTCGTACGACTTTGGGAAAACAATTCTCGTCCTCCGGCTATTTCAATAATTCTAGAAAAAAAAAGAGTTAAGAATAAGATTGATGAATCTCGAATAAAATTCATTCATCAGTTGGCTTTCGAAAAAAAAAATTTTTAATCATACCTTGAATCTCTAAGCTTATAAGTAGCTCCTTTACTGCTTTGTAAAACAATGACCTGACCCTCCGAACCCGAATAAGCATGATCCACAACTAAATCTTCATTAGTAAAATCTACTTCCTCATTTGAAGTAGAATCATTATCTTGACTTCCATTTTCTTCATCGTCTTCTTCTTGAACTTCTTCACTTTTTTCATTGCCGCACCTAAAAAAAAAAAAAAAAAAAAATTAAAAATCTATTTTTAATCTTCAAAAAAAGGAGGAAAAAAAAGGAGAGAAGGAGAGAAAAAAAAATTAATAAATGAAAAAAAATTTCATCGTGAAATTTTAAAACCATTGTTGAGCGAATAAATTTTATTGGATTTTTATCTACTTTTTCCAGTCGAAAGTTTTTCCTTACCCCGTTAAATTATTTCCGGAGGAGCGAGGAAAGGTTGAAAAATTGAAAAATTTTATATATATATATTGTTTATAATTGTAACAAATGCGAAAAAAAAAACCGCGTACCTGGTGATTTCTTTATCCAAATCCATTATGAACGCATTATTGTCCAAGTGGTCATCATGAACAGGATTGAGATTAAGGTCACGGGGTCGACACTTTGGAAAAAGTTTTGTTATCTGTTCGTTAAGATCGTTTCCGTCCAATTGCAGGCTTACTACACTTGTCATAGCTGTTATTTCGATAGCATTCTTGTATTATTCAAATCATCTGAAAATTAAAAACAAAAAAAATAAAATTTAACCACATTAAGTCACGTTAAGTGTGGTTAAGTCGGAAAATAAAATTTCATTTCTTATCCCTCGTACTTTAAATTAAAGGAGTCGGATAGTTTTTCCGGTAAAATTCACGGAACCGTGACGACCAAAAAAAAAAAAAAAAAAAAGGAAAATTTACGTTAAATGTTTAGAAAAAAGGGAAAAACTTTAAAATGATGCCTTTACAAATAGTACAAAAAAATATTAAACGATTAAAAGAAGAAGAAACAAGATCGTAAAATTAAGTAAGTTAAACGAAATGAATGAAATTTTCTCATAAATATTCTAAACGATACATCTTAATAAGATGAAAAATAATAATTTTCCGACCATTTTTCTCACATACACACTTAAATTTACAAATATTTTTTTTATTTAATAATTCCGACGGGAAAATTTTTTTTTTCTTTTTCAAAAACATTAAAAAAAAAAAAAAAAAAACGATTTGAACTCATTAAAAATTATTTGTCCCATTCAAACGGTGCCATATTATTATTATTATTATTATTATTATTATTATTATTATTATTATTATTATTATTATTATTATTATTATTATTATTATTATTATTATTTGATTTTAAAATCCCCGATTGTAATTAATATATTTATTTATTTTTTTTTTTAAATTTTTCATACGTTAATCAATTAAATTATTTTTCAAACTATCAAGCGAAAAATAATATCATCAGACAAAAAAAAAAAAAAGATTGGAAAATTGAAAAATTTTCATTCACAAACTTGTCTGACTGATACAAAAAAAAAGAAAAATTTTTTTTGGAAAAGCTGCGGTTCAAAATTCAAGTTAAAAATTACGAGAGAAAATCTCTTTTTAGGATTTCCCAAGAAAAAAGGTTTGAATGGGGGTCAAAAAAAAAAAAAAAAAAAAAGTTTTTTTAGTCGAGTTATAAAGCTTAACCTTTTTTTCTTTCTCCTTCTTCTTCTTCTTTTATTTTCTTTTCTTTTTTTTTTTTGCATTAGAGAAAAAGAAAAAAAAAAAACAACAACAAGAATATTTCAAAAGAGGATTTGTGAAAGTTCTAATGATAGAAACCTTATTCATTTACTTGTTGGAATATCAAAAATTTATTTAAATAAAAAAATGAAAACTTTTTTTAAGAGTATTTCTTTGTTACATTAATACCTTCTTCTTCTTCTTCTTTTTAAATGCTCGTATTAATTTTAAATATTGAACGTATTTAAATAATTTCAGGTTCGTCAAATTTACGTTTCAGTATGTAGAAAAATCAAAAAAAGTTAAATCGAGTTTTCATTTTTCCTGTCGGAAAAAATAAAAAAAAAAAAGAGAAAAAAGAAAAAAAATCAGACGATTGATTATATTTCTCGAATTTAAAATTGAAAACACACAACTTTTCACGTGATTTAAACCATTCATAATAATAATAATAATAATAATAATAATAATAATAATAATAATAATAATAATAATAATAATAATAATAATAATAAAATAAATTGTGTTTAAAGTAAGAAAATATTAGAGCCTAAAGTATTTATCATTCCGGTTTAAATTTTTTTTTTTTTTTTTTTAAAATATTTTTTAAATTTTCATTCGTTAAATCCTCGGGAAAATTAGGAAAAATTACAACGCTCCGGATTTTTCAATTTTTTAACAATTAATCATTTTGACTACGATAATGATGATATAAGTTCGGAAAATGACAGTACCGTGTTCCAAAATTTTGTAAAATTATTAAATTGAGATTTTTTTTTTTTTTTTTTGGAAAAATCGGTGAGAAAACTGACAGACAGTTGGACTTTAAAACTAATTTAAAAAAAAAAAAAAATTTATTAAAATTGCTGATGGATTCGTTTTTTGGTTTTCCGATTTCAATTTAGAAAATTATTATTATTATTAGTAAATTAAAATCCGTCGAATAATCCAACATTTCCGATTGTGGAAATGAAGACTTTTCTCGCGAATATCAAAATTTTAGAATTTAATAAATGAAAGAATGAATGAATCTTTTGTCTTTTTTATTTTGGAAAAATTCGCGATGAAATTCGAAAAAGAAAATCATAGACGAACGCATACCACCTTGAAATTAGAAAAAGTCAACAAATACAACAGGTATAAAGGCTCAATCAAGCGATGAAAAAAAAAATTTTTTTTTTTCTCGACTTTACTCTCGAAATTCATCAAAGATTGTCGCAGCAGTAAGAGAGAAAGAGAGAAAGAGAGAGAGAGAGAGAGAGAGAGAGAGAGAGAAAAGAGGGAAAATGAAAAAAATTATGATCGTAATAAATTATGGCGAGAGACGAGAAAAAAAAATAATAATAATAATAAATTGGATTATGTGAAACGAAAAAAAAAAAAAAAAAAAAAATTTTCCAGGACATTTTTTTTCCTCACTCAAGTGTAAAAATTTTATAGGAATGCGGGTCAAAGATTGAAAAGGCAACAAAAAAACCACCACCACCTCCAACAAAAACAACAACAACAACAACAAACAATTCAAACGCGATGCGGATTAAATAATCGATTTTTCCGTCTCCCTTCTCCTCCTCCCCCTCCCTCTTTTTCTTTCACCTTAAATCAACAAAGTCAATACCATTCGGATAAATTATAATATGTTTAAAGAAAACAAAAACGAAAAAAAAAACAAAAGAAAAAAAAAGGTAAATTATTAACTTATTTTTCAGGTCAGTCAGTTTTTCTTTTTTCCCCCCCCCTTCCTTTTTACGAACGAGGGGGGAAAAGAAACAAATTAAGAGAATTTTTAAAAACGAAACTTAATTTTGAATTATTAAAATGAAATTTTCTTGGAATGAAAATAATCGCGTTTTCAAATTTAGGACAGGGAAAAAGAAAAAATTTTTTTTTTTTGTTTTTAGAACGCAAGTGGAAAAGCGACCTTAAAATTTTTTTTTTTTTTTTTTTTTTTAAAAAAAATCGAATAAACTCCATTATTGTGAAAAATACGTACACAAAACAATGACACGTTGTCTGCACGTTGTCGCCGTGTGTGTGTGAGAGAATAAAATAATTAATTAAAATATTAATAATAATAATAATAATAATAATAATAATAATAATTAATTCGATTGAAAATATACGGCTTGATATTGCAAAATCGCGGGCGCGTTACGTAAAATAAATTCGTCGTAAAAAATATTTCACAAAGTGGAAACGGAAGTAAAAAAAAAAAAAAAATGATTAACGATTTCTGTTAATCAAAATAAATAAAATTTCCCCTCTCTCCCCTCGCCCCCCTCGCGCTCCGATTTCGAAAAACGGATGTTTACTTATTAGCATTAGTATTGCAAATCCCTCAAGAGAGTGAACTTTCTTTTTTTTTCTTCCTTTCTTTCTTCTCATCTTTTTTTATTTTCTCTCTCTCTTTCTTTTTCTTCCACATTTACTTTCCCTAATTGTTTTTTTCTCTCATTCTACTTTCAAGAATTTCTTAAACCGGATGTAGTTTTGATCGTAGAATAATTTCAACGTACACCCGCCATTTTTCTTATTATTATTATTTTTAAAAAAAAATTCCTGAAAAATATTAATTAATTGTCTACTCCTCTTTATTAGTTCCTCTGTATTTTCCGACATTTTTCCTCCTTCCCCCCCCTCGGTTTTACAAGTGTTTACATCTCATTTCGGTTTAAAAACCGGAAATTTTCAAATCTAAACGAAATTTAATTTTAATAATGAAATATGTCAAAAAAGATAAAGAAAAGCTTTTCCGGCGGGAAAAACGATATCAAAAAAAAAAAAAAAAAGGAAAAAATTTTTTTTTTACGTGAAAACCCCGGAAAAAAGAATTCGGGAGGAGGGGAGGGGAGGGGTAAATACGAAAAATGAAATAAAAAAAAAAAAAGTTTTAAATCAAAGAATTTATAAAATCCGTTTGAAAATTTATTTTCTTGAATTCTAATTTAATTTTTTTTCCCTCTCTCTCTCTCTCTTTATCACCCTACCACGCCCGAATTTTCTTTCTATTTTTCAATTCGTACCAATTCCCTTTCCAGTACAACCCCCCCCACTACTCCCTACCCCCCCTCTGCTCAATTTCTCTTTCCACTCGATACCTCAATTTTAATTTAATTTAATTTTCATATATAAAACCAAAAGTTTTCTCACTCACTCACACTCACACACACACACACAAATTTCTTTTAAACGTAAAATAATTTTTGAAAATCTATTTGTGTGCGTGCGTGCGTGCGTGCTTCTCTCACATGCACGCACTCACGTACGCACGCACGCTTTTCTAAGAAAAACGTCAAAAAATTAATAATTCCGAATAATAATAATAATAATAACAAGAAATTAATTAATTCTCATCAATCACAAAAAAAATATTTTTCGTATGAAATTTTTCCCAAAAAAATACTTTCTATAAAATAAATTAAAAACCTTTCGTGGGGGGAGGGGGAGGGGGAGGAAGGGGGGGGGGAGCGAGTGAAATAAAATAAAAATCAATTTCAAAACATTCAAATCTTTTTTCTTTTAGCTTAAAAAAAAAAAAAAAAATTTGTTCGACGTCTGCTTCGATGGAGAAAACTTTCACTAACGCGAAGAAGCCGTATCGAAACTCGATCAAAACTCAATAATAATAATAATAATAATAATTAAATTTCACAATTTCGTTTAAATTTGAATAATCGAACGGGAAGAACCGAAAAGGAAAAAAAAAGAGAGAGAGAGGGAGAGTGAGAGAGAAAGAGAAAATTCATTCTCCATCGTTTTTCATTTAGACACGACGAAAAATAAAACTTTAAACCCCATTAAACGATTTATTACGAAGGTCTAACCGAGTCCGATATTCCAACGTTAAATTTTAAAAGTCAAACAGTTCGAAAGAAATACTAAAATATAATAATAATAATAATAATAATAATAATAATAATAATAATAATACTAAAAAACCTGAGAAATTTTCCGAATG